AGAGTTGAGGGTCCAATACGGACGTAAGGCCCGTACTTCTCGTGCAGTTCAACCAGCTTGACATGTTTATTGTGGTTCTTCATCTGCGAAACGAGCCACAGATCTGAAACGCGGGCGAGCCATGGACCTGGGAACGATCCCAATGGGTGAAACACCAGACGATAGAGCAGTAGACTACTGAAGGTGCCAAGAAGGTAGGATGCTGCATGCAGGGAGACGGTGACCAGGGCCTCTCGCCATGCGGTTCCCCGTGAGACATGCAGGTAAGCGACCGAAGTGGCGTACAGGATACAGAAAACCTGCGTATAGGTGGTTCCGTAGAGTTGATGCTCGCCTCGCCGGAAATACGTAAGATGAGAAAACACGCCCACTAGAGCGGCAGTCAGCGTCGAGGACACCATGGTTAAGTCGATGTGGCTCGCAAGCGCTGAAGTTGCGAATGGGGTACTGATATAGGCAGGCATTAGTTCATCCTGGCCCGTCTGCTTTATATTAATCAAGCGGGGTGAGAGTAGGCGACGACACGGTCGGTGCACTAGTACGACGCCATGATGAGGGAGCAGACAGGTCAGCTTGCATTACTCGTGCACATCCCTGCAAGTGGATGACCCCTCATCACTTGGCATCTTGCTGCCACTTAAGCAGCGTCCTAGCACTGCGACTCATGAAAGAGTATAACTTGACCACTCATAGTAAGTATATAACCGGTGGTCAGCACTTCACCAACTTTTATCAGAGCACCACGTGCATACCGCTGTCAGACGAGTCCAAGAGATGAGGGTGCAAAGCCTCAAAATTGTTGTCGAAGACTATAACCTAGCGGCATGGTTGGTGTGGGATACATGCAGGTCTTCTGCACCGTCACAATCAGGGTGGTCCGCGCACTCGATGTGAGCCAATGGACTGACTCCTCAGCCAGCTGACACCCTACCAATACAGATGCTCAAATTACACGCTTACTTACCTTGTCAAGTCTTCTACCAATATCGACCCAACACATTTGACACAACAAGATGGGGGTACAGCCCACTACTTATCATCAACACCATTGCCTACACGGACATGACTAGGCCACACCCGACTTCTGACCTGGCAACTTCCTGGGCCAACTAATGCTCTCTCTCTCCGATAAGCCTGAATATCTCAGCCTATGGTGAAGGTTGAGACATGCTCATTAATCCAGACACCGTCCCCTTAGTAGTCTAACCTAATTACTGGCTCGGTCCGTAGTTAGCGTCTTCCACGACTAGCTTAGCTAACAACACAAGCTGAGTGTGTCCCCATCAATAGAATATGTTGTTATCCACCAAAGCTGATTTCTAACAAAAAATGAACAATCCAATCCCAGGAACTTACCAAACCAGAAACTACCAAGTTCTCTGCCAATCTAGTACCCAACTTATCCTCCGACACAGACAACAAAGTCAACTACTAACTTACCACCTCAATCTTTGTCTCACCCATAACACAAAGCACAGTGGCCACATCACCCCCACTTACCTGTAATCCCCCAACAAACAAGTAACCGAAAAAAAAAAGAAAAAAAGCTTATTCCCAGAAAGCAACTCCTTACAGTATTACAGAGCATTAACGCGAAATCATAACAGGGTTATATGACGCCAACTGCCAACGTGGACGTGCATCAACTAGTTATTATTTACTTGACAACCACGTGAGGTTTACTGTTCTTCATTGCTTACATAGTCACTTTGCATAGTTGTTGTGCACAGCATAACTTTGCTTATTACGGTATGCTTATTACTAATAACCTAATGTTATTTGTGTCAGTGTGTTATGCTCAGCCACAAACGAACACTCACACCATGTCCAAAATCGAACTAGTAGGCATAGCCCAAGTCGGCATACTTGACGAGGGCCGAGGTATTCGCTATCTTACTTTTTCAGTAAGTATGTATTTGTGTCTGGGAGGTATAAGAATAGAAGGATCGGAGTGACGTTTTAGCATTCTTGTTTTACCAAGTACTACATACCAACTAACTGCCTAGATTGGGTTTCTGTTAATTGTAAAGAGTGTCTGCTTGAATCGATATCACTCTACTCGTAGTCTTACTTAGATCAAAGGGATAGTGTAATGCTCTCTCTAGCATTGAAGCCTATATACACCGAGAGACATGATAAATATTCACATGCACACACACACACACACACACACACACACACACACACACACATCAACTCTAAGAGGAAACGCCGAAGCGTCCAGTCCGGCGGTGAAACACGGAGCGTATCCATGATCCGCCCCAAGTGGGATGGGCAGCGCGCCTAGATCGACACAGCACTGCGTCATTACCCCCCTCCCCCCTCATCCGGTTTCGGAAAGTTGACCGAATGCCCCATCTTAAAGTCCGATATTTACATGAAGTCCGATATTTGGGGCAGAAGTTCGTACTAGTCAAGGTCGAACAAGTAGAAAGTCTTCTGTCAGATCAGGCTATGAAGCGGGAATCCGGTCGATAGATAGTAGATAACTAGTGACCGGGTTTGTGTGTTTGCTGCCAGCAGCAAGAAGATGAGAGTCGAGAGATGCCAAGTCAGCGTTCCGGATGCCACACCGGGCCGGGTACGGCAGGGCGGTGATTGGCGGTGGCTAGAAAAGGAATGTGCTAGGGCTAGGGTACGGAAAAGTCACCCTTTTTCCGATGGGCGGATGGGTATCCCGATCGGGAAACTCAACATTTGACCGCCGACCACCTGGCGGGGATGGGCCCCATTTTCTCGGTGCGGTTATCGCAGGCAACGGAGTTGATTTTTTGAGTCATTCAGAATCATAATGGACTTCTGACATCCTGATTGGCCATGGCAGAAAATCAGTCCTCACATCGCCGCAATTGCTGGTGCAGGAACGCCCGGCCTTCGGTATTAGCAAACCCGCCGATCCCGAACGCGGGAATAATCCGACACATACGCGTCAGGGACGCCCCGATCCAGTCCCTGCTCACCCGACTCAATCGGTCCGAGGCCGAGAGTTGCATGGGCCGATTGTAGAGATCAAGACCGAGTAGGTGAATCGGTGTGCTGACTAGCTGAATGGAGGCCGGGATGGCCAGCTGTGCGAACAGGATCTTCAGGTATTCGCTGGAGGCAATAGAGTCCGGGATGGAGGCCGAGACCATGGCGGGGAGACTGAAGGAGCCGAAGATGGTGAGAGCATCGCGCACCAGGAAGGCCGAGTAGGTGGCAAAGGGGATGGTGCGGCTGACGGAGCGGAGGATCTTGCTTTGAGACGGAGCAGCAGAGGTCGTGGTCGTGGGAGCAGGAGTGGGAGGGGTGGCGTTGCTGTGGCCGAACAGTTGGGCGAACTTGACGTCCTTCCAGATGCCCACAGACGAATTGACGACAAAGGTGCTCATGAAGGTAGCCACCCCTGCCATGGCGTGGTCGACGTGAGGGTAGACTTGGTCCAGGATGGTCTCCGTGGCATTGGCGGCCGCAAAGGTGGCCGTGTAGAGAGACCAGACCAGCAGACTGGGTCGAGAGGTCAGGAAGGTGGCAGGCTGTGTGATGGAGAGCCAGAGGTGTCGGCGGAAGGCAGGGAGCATAGGTTGGTTGTGTGATGACTTCTCGACGACCAGTCTGGATGATGGTTAGTACTACTGTCAGGTAGGTGAGCAGGAGAGGAGGCTCCTACCTGTCTAGGATCATGACAGCAGGAGTGACCAAGGCTGCCGAACCTGCAGCAACCATCACATCCGCCGTGAGGAAGTCACCCAACCGGCTGCGATGCCCCGCAAAAGGTAGGGACTGATGAACAGGGAAGTCGAAATCCATGCTGACGAGCAGCGAGCCACTCCTCGCTCTGATTGGGGAATCAGATGTAGTGGTGGTGTTGAACACGGAGCACTTTTATGCAGATGACACAAAGGAAAGTCGAAGCAAGGGAACGACGTGAGAGGAGTGGTATACTGAGGGGTGGTTAGTATACAAAGCGAGTATAGATGGGGGGAATGGCGGGGAGCCACTGACCTAGATAGATGGGATGCACCGCTGAAAGCAACGCTGAACCGGGGTAAAAAGGAGTGAAAGAGTAGAGAGTACAATGAGGGACCGACAAAAGGAGTGGACAACCCCGGGTTCAGGGCTTATAAGAAACGAGATAGAGTCATGACCGCCCGCATCACCAGGTTGCCCAACACACCGTGAATCAATACTTGTTACTACTAATCTCCCACACAAAACAGGCTGCCGAATCGAGGGGACGATATTCGGCGGCAAGGGCCAATGGCATCGACCGGGCCGGGACCCGGGTACCCTCGGTGATTTGGCGATAGGCACCGCCTTACCCAAGCCGGCACTTCCTGTACCTAATGGAAACTGAGGCTTTTTTGGGTTGAGGTGGAGCGTGTTCTAGAAGGCATTGCCAGGACAGGTGAGTTGGCGATCCACCTCCAATGATGCTGTTCGTTGTGCTGCTGCTTGGAGTGGAGGGGACGTGGCCTTGGGAAGCCCTAAACGACAAACGTACCTGACCGAGTGGCCGCACTCCGCATGATCGGCCGATTTGCAGGGTTCACTGGATGGTACCTGGCACACGTAGGCTTCTCGACAGCATGTTAGAGAAGAGGTGAAACAGTCCGACAGGGACACTCATCCAGCTGGCAAGTCCTTGTATCTGGGTTAGGGCGCGATTGGGTGCTTAGGGGTGGTCGCGTGGTGCCGCAGCCAGCCCGGGGACTCTACAGTGCACAAGTTGATGCACTGGCAGACTAGGGCCCGAGGATGAGCTAATATCTCCCCATGATTTGCAATAAATAAGTCTAATATTTATACTTAGGCATCACACTGCCTGGTTGGGCCAATCACCGTGCCGGATCCCGAGCATAGATAAGCATCGCAGATGTGCCCCTCTACGGATCCACTGCTGGAACGAGGCCACAGTACATCGCACTCACTATCCAGTGACTGCATAGCTGGATAGTTGGTGGTTTCGGGTCTACTTTCTTCCCCCCTACACTCCATGGATGATGCCCGGCCACACCCTCTCTAGTCATAAAGCCACTTTATTGCTCTCGGGCTTATTTGTTCGTCTACCGTAAATCAAACCTGTCCCGCATGTGCCTGCAAATCCAGCGTGGTCAAAGAAACCATAAACGAATGCCTGTAGCAACAGAACGCTTCCAAATAATTCACAGAAAAATGATCTTCAGGCCCACACCAATTCCTCTATCTTGAGGGTCGCGTCGAGGATGGATCTCGACTGGGTGTTACCGGCGTTGGTATCCACGCGCTGCTCACATGATCACACAGCACGAATTTTGCTTCTTCGCAGAGGTGTAGAACATCTTCGACTGGGCACTAAGTCCCTCCGACTTGGACACGAGATCGTCGATCTTCTCACCGCGCTCGAGGACCTGGTCGGGGTTAGCATCATTCTACCCATACGTTCCCGCGCAGCACGTACGCTCTCGATGGTTTTGTGAAGAACGATCTTAGTCTCGTCCAGCTCCTTCTGAATCTTGAGGATGCTATCCACCTGGTGTGGGTCCTGGTACGCCTGGATGTAGGTCTTGAGGGAGGGGAAGGGCACCGGATCACGGGAGGAGGCGGCGTTGGGATTCAGGGAGAGGAACTCGTCGAGCATCTTCGAAAGGATCTGGTGAGCAGCCAGGGACGGATACTCATTGTCGCTGATGATCACTCCGGCGATGCCTTGGGTTCGCGCGTAGACGTGGAATGTGAAATCTGTAGGCGACCGGCGGTCAGGGGCTGCCGCAGAGGCGATGGAAAGATGACACCGAAGGACGCCAACTTGCCTTGCTCTTGAATGTCCTGTCTCTGTCCTTGTTTCGTCCGTTCGGCGACGGTCTTACTGAACATCGTCATGAACTCACTGACGCTGCCTTTGGTGAAGCGCGAGTAGCTGCTGAGGTCGCGCTCGGCGCAGAGCTCCACGGCGGGAGCTTGAGCATTTTGGAGAATCTGTCAAGATGATCGGGGTCAGACAGCAAGAATGATGAACAGGGAGCTTCCGCCATTTCCTTACCCCTAGATAAACGAGCTTCATGATGGCGAGGATGAGACTGGGAGAGGCTGACGTCGTTGAGCTGGCAAAGTTGCGGGGATTCCCAAAGAAGGGTCCCGACCGCCCTTCACCGCCCTAGTGCCTGAGGCAGTAACAGAACCCTTTCGAGCTTCCATCTCCTTCGCTTCTTCTCCTCATTTCCACTTCGCCAAAGCGTCTACTCTCGCCTCTTCGGCATACCTATCGGCACTGGTCTTCTGATAAGAGGGGATTCATGCTGTGGCTTATCACATGACTCCTAGGTTGGACTGTCTGCTCAGATGCACAGCTGCATTCCAGAAAGTACCGGTTGCGTGCCGTGCCACTGCTTCGATCCTCTAAGCCTTATTTTTCGGGCATCTACGAAGTAGTATGGGTATTTGATTGACGAGACTTGCTCCTTGAGGACTATAGTTTCTATCCCGCTATGGCACCTGTTAAAGTCGAATTGCATGTGTCATGATGTGGAGAGATGCACAGAAACGCCTCAGGACCCTAACACGAGGCTTCAATAGGCGAATAATAGTTACTTGTACGCCGCCGTATCTCAATCCGCATTCAACTGAAACATATGGAATGCACCAACAACTAGGATGTCGAACTTGTGCCAATGAGGTGCAATGATGAACAACTTTCGGTCAACTTAACCGCTCTCCGTCACCTCGACGTAGTTCCTACGCAACTTTGCACATTGCCTTCTACTAATGGCAGTGTGATCTAGGCTTTGTAGACACTTGCTTGCTTGAGAAAGTCGAAACCCGATCATCTTGGAAATGACAGGAATTCAGCTGTCGCCGCTAGGCTACTTACGTAACTATGCAGATAGCAGAGATATCTCGAATACTGGTGAACAGGCCAACGTTTTAATGCTTCATGGTCAGAACCAAGTAGTTCAGGCTGTGTACCGGCACTGACCCGTCTGTAGGTCATGGTCAATCGATTGATATGTTCCACCACAAAACGCACTTCCTCCAAGAGGCCCTCAACTCAGCTGGGTCTCAGAGCAACCGATCACTACCACATATCAAGCTCCATTACAGTGAAGCACCTTTCGACGTGAACGGCCCAAATATGGAGTCCAAGGTTTGGGGGTATGGGATTTTTGACTGCCAGCGAATCTCGGGCCTGGAACAAAGTGTGAAGCGTGTGCTAAAGCAGCTGGAACACCTTAATCCGGTTGCTGGTATAATTGGGTTTTCGACCGGTGCTACCCTGGCGATGATTATCGCATCCTTACTGGAGGAGCGAGATCGCGGCCTTATTTTTGGCGTCAGTGTGGGTATAGTATTTGTGTAACTTGACCGATTCTTTGGCTTACATTGGCAGACCCCTCACCCACCGCTCAAGTTTGTCGTCGCATACAGTGGTTTTACGCTCGGCCATCCCATGTATAGAAATCTGTATCATCCGAGGATTCGCACCCCTGCCCTACTATACATTGGCGAAGTGGACACAATGATCACGCCGAAGTCTACGTACCGCCTGGCAGAATGCTGCAGTCATGCCGAAATTCAGACCTTCTGGGGGACACATTACGTTCCCAGACATCTGAAAACAACTGATGTAGCTGTCACCTTTGTCTATCGGTGTTGAATCGGTGAGCCCGAGGAAGAAAATGAGCAACGAAGCCGGTCGGCACCGAAGACGGATGAATTGACCCTCAACAAGCGCCAGGAACCGGGAAAGGCGTTCCCGGCTAAGGCTCCCAGACGACGGCTAAGAATGCGGGATGCGACGCTGGCTAAAAAGCCTGCCGGGAGCGCCAAGCAAGGGATGGCTGTCACCACACGGCTTGTGTAACCTCTGTATGCCCTCCACACTAGATCGTGAGATAGGCTCCATCGAGGACCCAGTTGGAGGGTTGGAAATGCAACGCCAGCGTTCAGAATCTTACGAAGGGCCTCTCTTGTGCCTGATCTGACCTTCTGGATGCAACTCTACTATTAACGCAAACAGTAAGCCTGCCACGAATGCGACGACATCTAGCGAAACTAGCCATGTTCAACCTCAGACGGGGTCAGGTACGATCTGGCAATACAAAGGCATAAATAGTCCTGTTCAACCCTCGTTCTTCTCATCCTCATCATCATCAGCCATTCGCTCAATCACCAAGCTACTTCTATCTTTCGATCGATCTTCTAGCACTCTTTGAGTCACCATTCCACCGTCACAATGAAGTTCACTGCTGCTGCTGCTCTTGCTCTTGCCACTGTGGTTGTGGCTCAGCCCTCCGTCCGCGGCCGCGCTGTCAACCACATCCCTGCCCCTGCCGGCATGACTGTCTCTCAGGGAGCCGACTCCTGCGGTAGCGGCAACCAGCTCTCCTGCTGCAACAAGGCCACTTATGCCGGTGACTCCACCGACATCGACAGCGGTCTCCTGTCTGGCCTCTTGAGCGGCCTCATTGGCTCCGGATCCGGCTCCCAGGGTATTGGCCTGGCCGACGACTGCTCCCCGCTTGACCTCCAGGGTATGTATCTCGCTATAGGATAAGAGCTGCCTCTGACATCTATAGCCCTTGACCTTGTCGGCCTGCAAAACTTGCTCAACGACCAGTGCGAGCAGACTGCCGCCTGCTGCCAGGGCAGCGGCAGCGACACTGTAAGCAATAAACCACCTGACCCCTTCTTGATCCCTCATACTGATGTATTGCAGGAGGGTGACCTCATCGGTGTCGGCCTCCCCTGCATTGCTCTGGGAACGCTTCTTTAAGCGCGTGGTTATGGCACCGACTATCTATCCATTTACATTATGGATTTAGTTATCATCTCGTCTAGTTTCGGTTCCATGTCGAACCTGGTATTAATAAAATTTTGAATCTTTGATTCTACAAGTTTTTCTTGGTGGCTTACTTTCTCCACTCCTATCTGTCCCTTAATGCCCGTAATGCAGCCGGAATGGCGTAGTAGTGATCATCCTGACTAGCACTACAGAAACATCCAATGGTTGAGTGCCCTGTTCATATTTATTGGTTATCATAACAGTCATTCAAATCCTGTGGTTACTCTAATTAGTAAAACATATTGAGAAGAGGGATGGTCGAATGTATATTCAGTATTAGAGGAGACGTATAATAAAAATTAAACAATATAGTCTTTATACAAATCTCTTTCCTGTACTGTCTCACCAAATGCAAATGGAAATGTCTGCAAGATTTTGGAGTCTATGCATGTCCCACGCTACTGGAGATCGAACAATAATATTCCATAGTACGAAATACTGAAGTTACAATATATACCTGGCCTTCAGAGTTTGTATAGTTATCTGACACCACCTTCAGACACCCAGTCAGACTGAAAACGGAATCACCGAATCGATCAATCAATACCTGTAATATTTCATTCTCAATCTGTCTACATATAATTCATGATATAGAGGCCAGAGTTAGTGGCGTATTTGTGTAGTCGTGGCAGGCACTTACATGCAAGTGGGTCCGAAACCTGTGTTGACCAAAATGACCCAGTCTGCTGGTTTCGATATCGCGGACACACTTTTTAGGACGTGCTTCATTTTCCGGGCTTATAGAATTGTTGACACATTATCATGGCGGAGAAGACGGAAACCAAGACAGCATGTTAGATATAATATGAAACAAGAAAGGGGCATATATATTGCAATAGGTGCCAACTGGTCTCAGTACACCGATTCTTCAAAATCTCCTGTGTCTCTCCGATACAACCATTATAAATAGCTTTTTAGTCTGCACTGCATCTATAAGGCGATATTCAATCAAGCTGTAGTGGCCGACGCTGGATGAGACTGTTGGTATCTTGGCGTCAAGAAAGCCTTCCACGATCCTTTTTCAAACTGCATGGTGATATACTGTCTGTAATCGATATTCTGTCCGGGAACCTCGGCCAGGTCAAATCGTGAAAAGATATTGGCGGTTAACATTCTGATTTCTGCCATGGCGAAGCTGTGTTGTTACAAACAAATTAGTTACCGTTTACCTTGAAGGGAAAGACGAAGAAAAAGAATTCAGAAGAGGTGCCCAAGATAGAGAGGAAGGATGGATTCGAGACGTACTTCTTTCCAATGCATGAGTGCTTTCCAGCGGAAAATGGATAGTAAGCTTGCATGCTGAGTAAAGAAAATCAGCACTTGGCATCACTCGGTGATAATAATATAGACTTACTCAGGTGCAGGTACATCAGAAGGCCGAGGATCTAGCCATCGTTCAGGCCAAAAGCGCAGGGGCTCATCCCAGTATTTCGGATCTCGGTGAAGCTGGCGATAAGATGCAGACACAATCGTGTGAGCAGGGAGATGGTAACCCATCAGCTCAATCGGCGTCTTTCCAGTCCGACGACCCATCTCAGACGCTATCGGGTGTAGTCGAAGCACCTCTTTGATGCATGCTTCGAGGTACTCATATTCAGGAGACGTTCGGACAGTCTTGCTGGGGATAATCGGATCACTTGGTTGAAGGATCGGTAGGCTCTTCATCAGCTTATCTTTTGTTTCTGGGTTCCGTAGTATTTCCAGAAAAAAGCAGGCGATAGTTCCAGACGTTGTTTCGGACCCGGCTAGTAGAATCTCAGCCATCTGGTCGACAACTTCCCTAGTTCCCATTTTGACTCCGCTGTCTGGTCTTTCGCCATTCTCGAGAAGGTGTTGCAGAAGGTCGGGACGGACACTTTTGGGGGTTGCTTTTCGATGACCTGCGACTGCGGAGATGGCCTGTGCCGGTGTCAGCTAAATTGATTATCATATCAGAGGATTTAGGAATGTAAGTACAGCAATCATCTCTCGTGGCCAGTCAAATTCGATGTTCAGGCCGAGTCTCCTTAGAAGGCGCTTAATGTAAACAAACTGATTCTGCGTTAGCAGGTCGCTCACTCCTCCCTTCAACTAAGAAAATTCATCGATTACCTGGTATCGCCGAGTCATCCCTTTGAAGATGGCTGTTGGAATTGTTCGCCATATGTTCTCATCAAATTCAAGTTCCAGTTTCCTGTTTTTGTTCGTCTGGCCGAATCCGTTGCCAAAGGAGCATTCTCCCATTCTGAGGTTGCGTAATGTTACTGCGAAGCTTTCTCTCGAGTTGGTTATTTGCATCATAATACTTACATGTCAAGGGCAAGACTATGCAAATCTTCCATCAGGTCCGTAACTACCGGCGCTTTCTCGCCCTTTGGCGAGGGGCATGACAGCAGATCCACATATCGATTGATCAGGTCACCCACACATTTTGAGAACAAAAATTCGAGACCGTCAACATACGCAATCGTGAATGCTGGCGACAGAAACTTCTTGAGTCGCTTATGTGGATCTGGTCGACTTTGTAGTAGATCAGTACGAGACTTCGATCAAACCGTCTCATCCGTAATTGTTATCCATCCCGAGGAAGGAAAAAGGAGCAGGACGCTTACATCTCCCCAAATAATCCAGGACTTGTCCGATCTCTCGATATTTCTGCATACATGGTGACTTTCGGCAGATCAACTGTCATAAGAATGGCCTTGATGGCTTCTTTATCTGAAATCCACACCTGTCGCGGTCCCAGGCGGAAGATAGGGCCGTATTGTGTGTGGGACTTCTCGACGGCTTTCCATATCGTTCCTCTTGCGAATGCATAGTTAAGATGTAATGTTGTGAGAGGTGCATACCATGGCCCGGGGATCCGTGAGAGAGGGGATTTAATGGCTTTGATAACTCCTATTATGTAGTTGATGAATATTAGAGCGAGGATGAACAGTGGTGCCCAGTGGAGGTACACAGGAAGCCTCTCCGAAAGAGTCTCCATATTAAAGGGATACGCGAGTGGTTATGGTGAGGAATGTCGTTATGTGTCAGAAGGGTTACTGTACGGTTGATGATCGGCAACGTCTGAAGAAACAAACATTTCCGATACCGTGTGACTGTGGAGCTACTACTTGCTTATAAGCATACCGGCTCGCTGTTCTACAGCTTTGGTCCAAGGCATAATGTTGAATCTCCACCTCGTTGGTATCAGACTGACAAAACATATCTGATTTTGACATCATACGTTGCCATATCCGTCCGCAGAGGCAATGGAGTGTTGGTTTGTAGGAAGTGGTGAAGTCATTGGTATAGCCTTTATATGTTCCAATTCTGAATGACTCTGCAGAAAATCAGCTGGGCTACGGGAACATTCTCCGGGTCAATCATAAAGTCCGCTTCTCTTCTGGTTCCTCTTATGGTAATGCCTTGTGTTTTGCCATTCGAAAACCCTGGGAAGTGCAGATCCATGCCATGCTGAACTCTCTTTCTCGAGCATTAGGCTGGAAAGTCGAGGGTAAATCTTCCTTGAGCAATCGCTGGGGTATCTTATTTTGTGTGGCCAGTATGGAATGACCCGTTTGTTGGCGTGTCGCTTACTCAAGGTTTCGATGCATTCTTTCGAGTGGAAGTTACTGCATGCACGCGGTATATGGATGAGAATACTGTTTTGATCGTTCCCCAGGAAGCGGAGGAGGTTGACTATCAAGATGAATTGCACCCCACCAACGCGCTTTTTTCCAATTGACATGGCCGAGAGTATAATGGTCTCGAGTGTAATGTTGCCTAAGGGCTTTCTCAGGTCTTCAACATCTCATTACTTGGGACCTGTGTGGAGACTCGCACTCGGCTTTTGCTTTACCAGGTTGGGATTCCCAACACTGTCGCTCAGTCCTGTGTCCTAGTTATGGGATCGCCACTTACATATTAACTTTGACGGTCTTCGAACAACAAGTCATTGAGATCACTCCATCGATGCACGCATCCAGTTCTGTCATACCCTGTCGAATCGTACTCCAGCACGCTTCGTTCATCTCGTCATCCGAGAAGCCGATCCAATTACATTCGATTAAATATAATGGTAGCTCTGGTATAGTTAACCATCTCCACAATATTGTTCATTATCATTACCAGATAGACTACCCTAAGTTCTGGAGAAAGCTAGCAGTTTAGACATTGAAATGCGTACATATGACTAGAGCGCAGTTGTTCTTTCTTGGCACAACGCTGAGGACACGGGCATCGCGGAAGATCGAACCGCGAATTATACTTTTACCTGGAATGTGGCTGGTCTCAGCTGCTGCAGAATGAATGCTTAGGCTTGATAAGCTGTCATCAGGCCCGCCGTTTATCATTAATGTCTTCTTAACTTGGCCAATGCTACGAAAAATACATTTGAGTGATTCTCAGTGACCCAGGAGACGCTTCCCCCCAACGACGCCTCATTATGCCTTATCTCACCAACGCCGAGATATTATCCATATTCGGAGAACTAAGCAAAGTCCCTCGCGGCTACGAATCCTTCTTCAACCACGTCGATGACAATGTGCACTGGGAGATCACAGGACAAACCGCGTTATCAGGAGTATGGAGGTCGAAGGCAGAATTCTTGGATAGGGTGTGGCTGCCTATCATCAGACTGATAGCAGACCCGGGCCCTATATTTGAGATAGCCTGCCCTGATAGCATCACAAGAAACGAGGAAGGGTGGGTTAACGTTGAGTTGAAGACCAGAGACACCCGAACAAAACTGGGCAATCGTTTGTATAGCCAACATTATTCATGGCACTGCAAATTCAATTCAGCAAAGAAGATCGTTCAAGTGAGATGTTTCTTCGATACAAGTCTAGCAGAAACTGTACTTTTGCATGAGAAATACAGACAAGAGGCACTGGCCATCCTGCCAAACGATCGTAAGTACCTGGCCATAGTTCACAAAATACTACTTAACTAACTCTAACACCAGCGTTAGATAGGCCGGAAATGGGCCCGGACTACCCCTTAATACCCTTCGATCCCGCTTATA